GACGTACTAAGTCATGCTGCAGACACATGGTCACATGGTCACGACTATAAACTTCAACTATTTATTTTTTCAACTCACTAAAGTGGTGCAACAAAACTGTTTTTGAGCACCTAGCTAAAATGAATTTTATAAAGCCTACCTGTCTTCATCTGTGACATATCATTTAAACTGTTTTCATATTTGAAGGTCTTTTCTTCAGTTTAAGACATACTTTTCATAACCTTAAATAACTTTAACTATGACTAAAGTTAATGTAACGGTTTGATTGTTGAATTTCTGCTTTTATTTGACTAGATTGAGTGCTGTCATTCCTTTTGAATACTAAATAACTAATTTGCTAAACATGTTTTATTCATTTCATTTCAGTTAGTGTTTCATAAATACAATTAGATAATAATTGAGATACAATTACATCAGTAAACAGAAACTTTATGTAAGGTATCAATAAACATACCTTTATAGCCACAAAGTACTTCTACTTGTTTTTAGACCTTAATTCCTATAGTAATATTTCTCAATGAGAGAGATACCAGTACTTGCAGCAGAACAATTCATCATTTTGTTGGACTTTCTTACACATTGAAGGACTGTTAGCTTCTCTGGTTTCTACTCATTAAATGACAGTAGCAAGTATCCAATCACTCTCCCTTTCATTCAGGAAGACAACTGCAAACCCCTATAACACCACCATACATTTCCCAATACCAGCTGGCCAGTACCATTCCAGTAAACAACCTTCCATAAAATCTTTGTCACCATTTCTCTTGCAGTCTTTAATCTATAGTTTACCTGGTAAAATACTACTAATCATCATAAAATACTATGCCTTACTCTGAAATACTATGAAAATGCTGTGAAAAACTGTCTTTCGCTTTATCTACGTTTATTGCACACTGGCTTGGTGCCAGGCACTCTTGTAAGTGCTTTACCTGCAATAACTTGTTTATCCCTCACAGCAGTGCTGTAACTTACGACTATTTTCCTTGTTTGATAGAAAAGAAAACTGGAGGCAAAAGATTCAAGTAATTCGTCCAATGTAACCAACTAGAAAGTACCAGGGCCTCAGTTAAGTCAGGAAATCTGGATCCAGAGTCAGATTTTAAACACCCTCTTTTACTTATATATTCTTAAAATTAAGAAGAATTAAGAAAGAAAAGTCTGAGCCCTATTACCTTTCTTTAAGAAAGGTAATTTCTACTAGAAATTTTACTTATACATACTCTTTAATATGGGGATCATATATCATGTTAACTTTTAATGTTACAAAACAGAGTGTAAAGCACAAAATTGATAAAAATGCCTCATTTCTAAAAATCAGATTCAAATATTTGTTACATTGTCCCTATTTCTCCATTCTAAATTCTGTACCAAGTCCCACTTCTGTGTTCTGTGTTTTTGGTAGGGGTAACACACTATAACATGTTCTAAATGTCTCTTTCCATATAATGTGGAAGAAAAAAGATCACTTTTTTTTTTTTTTTTTTTTTTTTTTTTTTTTTAAGACGGAGTTTCACTCTTGTTGCCCAGGCTGGAGTGCAATGGCGCGATCTCGGCTCACCGCAACCTGCGCCTCCTGGGTTCAGGCAATTCTGCTGCCTCAGCCTCCTGAGTAGCTGGGATTACAGGCACGCGCCACCATGCCCAGCTAATTTTTTTGTATTTTTAGTACAGACGGGGTTTCACCATGTTGACCAGGATGGTCTCGATCTCTTGACCTCGTGATCCACCCGCCTCGGCCTCCCAAAGTGCTGGGATTACAGGCTTGAGCCACCGCGCCTGGCCTAAAAAGATCACTTTTTAAAGTTGCCATCCACAGTCAATGCAAAAATTACAGTCAGTGTAAAAATTGCAAGCCATTTTCTTATGTATTTGTTTTTTCTTTTCATTGTTTTACATTGTAACAAAAGGGTCTTTCCATATACTCAGCTATCGCTAAAGTATAGTGTAATTTCAAATGACCTAGAACAGAACCTAATATATAATTGTGTATGAAAGATAACTGCAGTTTGTGTTTTGTTAGGCAAATTTACTAAGCTTACATTTAAATCAAATGCATTGACTTACGTTGTAAAATACACCTCATTTGAATTTTGTAAAGCAAAACAGTTCTTTCGATATATGCATGGATTTAAAAATCTATATCCATGAGGCTGGGCACAGTGGCTTACACCTGGTAAACTCAGCACTTTGGAAGGCCAAGGCAGGTGGATAACCTGAGGTCAGGAGTTCAAGACCAGTCTGACCAACATGATGAAACCCATTCTCTATTAAAAATGCAAAAATTAGCCAGGCCTGGTATGGGAAGATGCCTGTAATCCTAGCTACTTGGGAGGCTGAGGTAGGAGAATTGCTTGAACCTGGGAGGTGGAGGTTGCAGTGAGCCAAGATTTTGCCACTGCACTCCAGCTTGGGTGACAAAGTGAGGGTCTGTCTCAAAAAAATAAATAACATAAAATTGTTACCTGGTTTTTTGGAGTGTTGGTGAGGCACAGCTCCTCCCAGAGAATGTTGTAGGTTCTTGGTCCCCACCCTCTTAAGGATAAGAGAAGGGACCACTGCAGGTGCGTGCAGTAAGCTCATAAAAGTAAATATCGGACCCAAGAAGTGTTGCAGAAAGGTGATTTTATTTAGGTAGAGAAAAGAGAAGAAAAGGAGAAGAGAAAGACTCCCACGGAGAGTGTGGAAGGGGATTCCAGAGGGGAACCCAAGAGGGGAAAGACAGCTCCCATTACGTGAGACGGGATCCCAGAGAGCTGGAAATCCCTGTGTAGGGGAAGGAGCAGGGGAATTTATCCTGGGAGAAATTCCCACCTTCCCAACTTCTTCTGGCCAATGAAAGGAGTTTCTTTAAACTTCCGCTGGTGTGATTGTCTCTTAGTTTCTTCCCATACCCTGCAAAATTCAAATATAAACCGTTAAATTTCCGGTATGGAGAGAGACGGGAGCGCGCATGGCGCTGGGAAATTCTTGCCCTTAAAACTATGCCCCCTTGTGGATCCAGTAAGAGAATACATTCCTTCAAAATCTGTATTCATGAATTTACTCTCTGCATCAATGGAATCAAAATTAGGATGTTTCTACCTAAGTAAGAGCAGTAACTGTGTACAAAGTGGCCCTATAAACCAGACAGTGATAAGAATCTAAGTAAATGACACAGTTTCTTTATTTTTCAGGAAACAATTATGAAATTATTTATTTGATCTACATAGCTGCTATTTTGTTAGTTGCATTGCATCATATCTACATGAACTATCATGTGAGAACTTTTCTTTGCAATTTACATATGGAAGAATTTCCTTTATCCTCAGGTGATTGTACAATTCTTCCTCTTTGTTAATAAGAGTGATGTAATTTAACAAATTCTTTTTACCCAGGCTGCAAAGAAGCACTGGACAAAATACAAATTGTTCAAAGCGACCATGTTTATCTTAGCTACATATGCATTTGCTAGTATAGTCCATTTTAAAGTCACTTCAAAACATTTTTAGAAAAACACACAAGTTCAATAATACGTATTTACAGGGACCCAGCAGGATTTCTTAGCAAAAAGAAAGAGAAAGGGGGAAAGTGTGTGTTTTTGTGGCAGGAGGGCGGGGGTGCGGTTGGAGAGAAGGGAGAGAGAAAGAAGGGAGGGAGAAAGGAAGGAAGGAAGGAAGGCTGGATGAATGGACCTTCCAAAAATGTTAACGTCACTAAAATTTGTTGAGGTACCTTTTACATATGTGAAAAAACCTAATACATTAACTATGTCTTCTCCACCAATGTGTCTAACCAATCTGTTCCTTGGCCCATTAACAGAGAAGAGGTCCTCTAGAAATGTGCTCATCCAGTGTTAATGAAGAAAAGCAGCTGATTTGCTCTTAACTGAAGGGAAAGTAATTATCATTTAGTTCAGTGAATCAGCTAGTGTTACTCCCCACCTTCACCTCTATCTGCAACAAATCAAAATGTAATGCATGTTAAAGGCAACAGCAACACATTTGTTTTTGAATATCATATTGTTGAATCAAGTTCACTTTTAATATCTTCCTGTGAAATGACAGACTATGTCTTCTGGAATGATTTATAAGAATGATTAAGTCTCTATTGAAAAATCTCCCCAATGTTTAAATTACTGTCAACATTGAAATGACAGAAGAGCAGGTTCTGACACTACTTAAAAAATAAGTAAATGTGTGAGTCTAAAAAGATATTTAAAGTATTTCCACATTTAAAATACTTGCGTTGTTCTTTTCTTTCACTTGTTTCAAAAGGTAGTTAGACTCTATTCCTCACAAATATTATATTCATAATAACAATGATTTTTGTAGCCAGTTAAAATACATGATCATACTAAAACAAATTTTCAACTTGAATGTGACATTGCAGTAAAAACTCAATGCTCAGTTAAGCAGAAAATCTAATTAACCATACTTCTTATTTCTACAGAATCCCACTTATTTTCACTTTTAATATTAAATGAATTTCATTATATTCTTTCTAGCAACTGCAGATAACTATAATAGTTTTTTTCAGTTTAAGAAATAATTTTCTAAATGTTTAATTAGTCTGATTTGTGCTAGATTCATATGAAATTAAATAGTTTTTCATATAATTATGGTTTTAAATTTTCAAACATGTTTATGAGGGTATGTCCTCTGACCATCCATACTTTTCCATAAACCTCACAGTAGATGAGATAACACTGTTCCACACTTTCATAAAACCAGTTAACATTTCTCATGTTTAAATTTACTTGTTCCATGATAGCTATTATCCATACACTCTGAACTTCTTAAGGGGAAGAACTATGTCTTTCAATTTACCTACCAGATCTCCAAGCCTATTATAGTACATGGTACATAGTGGCTGTTAAGAACTATTTACTGAAAAATTGAATTAAATCTGTTTAATGCTTGAATTAATAAATGAAACTCTATTTTAAAAGCAGTGAATTTAAACTTTATTATTAAAGACGTAATAGGAATAGATTGCTTCTGGATGAACTTCTTTTTTTTTTTTTTTTTTTTTTTCACGTTTAAGATTTTATTCAGATTTGATTTGCATTCCAAAAGAAATTATAAAATGTATTCACTTGTTTATAAAAAAAAAAAAGAGGGGCCACAAAATTTTAATTCAAATTATAAAACATAATTAATTAATTTTCAGATTAAAAGTGGGCTAGTTGCTTGGAGTAACAAACTTTTAAATCAGCATTTTCCACCTCCACACCAAGGATAACCATCTAATTAATGATCAGCTGTGCTGTAATAGGATAGCACTGAGACTTGAGTAAACATCAAAACTGAAGCACTCTTCTAAGCCCAGACCAGGAGCTTTTTTATGCCTTCTCATAGTGGCGAACAGCAACCACATCACCAAAAGTAAGGGTCATAACCATTTTGCCATCCTTAATTTCTCTTACAAAATTTGTTTCTTTGCCATCCCATTTCTGTACGTGAACAAGTTTGTCTCCATCCAGGCTAACAACAGACTTACAGTTTCTATCATCCGCAGTGGTTTCATCAAACTCTTCTCCCAGGTGGAAACTAATCTCCGTGTTCTTGAATGTGCTGAGAGTCCTGATGACCACTTTGTCTCCTTCCTGACTGATAATTACCGTTGGTTTGGTCACATTTCCCACCTGCCTAGTGGCAAAGCCCACACCTAGAGCCTTCATGTACTCATCAAAGTTCTGACTGTCGGTCAGTTTCCAGGTAGCACAGAAAGCCTCCACCATCCTTGCCCTTTCCCGTCTTTAGAGACAAGAGCGAGGATCTTCTCGTCTAATTGCCACTGCAGTTCAGAAGACCCTTTACCTGGATGAACTTCTTAAACAGTTAGATAATGTTGTTATTTGCTAGGGAAGACATCTAGGTAAAATATCACATTGAAAATGAGGCTTTTTTTTTTTTTTTTTTTTTTTTTTTGAGACGGAGTTTCGCTCTTGTTACCCAGGCTGGAGTGCAATGGCGCAATCTCGGCTCACCGCAACCTCCGCCTCCTGGGCTCAGGCAATTCTCCTGCCTCAGCCTCCTGAGTAGCTGGGATTACAGGCACGCGCCACCACGCCCAGCTAGTTTTTTGTATTTTTAGTAGAGACGGGGTTTCACCATGTTGACCAGGATGGTCTCCATCTCTGGACCTTGTGATCCACCCGGAAAATGAGGCATATTTTGAAGTCCGTGTATGATCTGGTACTGGAGTTTAAGTAAATTGTATTTATAATATAATTTTAGCAATATATTTAATTACTCCGCTAGTTACTAAAGCCTAGTCCTTTGATATTACTGTTAGGAGTTTTATATTTTCATATGTCACAGACATGAAACTACTAGAATAAACAACAGTGTGACAGGATTTCAAGATTTTGCGTTTCTAGTATTCCTGGGAGCTTTTTTTTTTTTTTTTTTTTTTTTTTTTTTTTAAGACGGAGTTTCGCTCTCGTTACCCAGGCTGGAGTGCAATGGCGCGATCTCGGCTCACCGCAACCTCCACCTCCTGGGTTCAGGCAATTCTCCTGCCTCAGCCTCCTGAGTAGCTGGGATTACAGGCACGCGCCACCATGCCCAGCTAATTTTTTTGTATTTTTAGTAGAGACGGGGTTTCACCATGTTGACCAGGTTGGTCTCGATCTCTCGACCTTGTGATCCACCCGCCTCGGCCTCCCAAAGTTCTGGGATTACAGCTGGGAGCTTTTTAATTCCCTTGCATGTACTTGTGAATTTTCTGAAGACTTTGTTTGTATTGTTAGAGAATTCATGGAGTGTTGCTTCACCAGCCAGAAACCTCTGTGACCAGTGGTAGCTTTGTCCAAGTTTTGCTCAGGCCCACTTGGCCCACTTGGCCCACTTGGCCCACTTGGCGCAGTAGACTGCACTTGGTTCATGCTACTGGTCTGAATCCCATGGCTGCCAAGAATGAGTGGAGCAGTGAAAGGTTTATGAGCGAGTGAATATGGGGCTTGCTGACTGTGGTGGAGTGGGCAGCTCCAAAAACCAGCATGGGTGGCAGCTTTTTGCAAGGCTGTAGCTGTACTAGGTGTCCCACAAGCAGCTTACATACCTGGCAACAGGGAACAGAGTGGCACCCAGAAGCTTGGAGATGCCAGAAACCACGGAACCCCAAAGAGAGTGTCACAGACTTGGCTTGGGGAGCTCCTAGGTGTAGGCTCCCCAGGGGGCCACAACTCTTCTCTCCTTGTTGCCCACAATGTGGTAAGCAAGGGCAGGGGCACATTTCAGCCTTGTTTGTGTTACGGCTCTTTCAGCCCTGCCATTTGGTGGGTCCTTCTTGTCCCTCATCCAAGAACAATCAGGTGTGCAGACAGGTGGGGGTGAGCAAGGTGGACAGGAGTTTTATTGAGAGTTAAGACAGCTCAGAAGAGATCACAGTGGGTAGCTCCTCTCTGCAGCCAGGGCGTCCTGATGAACATTCAGGTTCTCAGCAGAGAAGAGACCCTGGAGTGGGTAGCTCCTCTCCAGAGTTGGTCACGCTATCATCTCAGCAGTTGCAGAGAGGAGACTGGAGGTGAGTAGCTTCTCTGCAGCTGGCCATCTCATCTCTCTCAGTCTGGTTGAGTTCAGGGTTTTTATGGACATAAGAGGGTAGAAAGTTTATGATGATGGTCCATGGGCAGCCATAGGTGGGCCCAGAAAAAGCACCGTAAGTTTCTGCTCTAATCTGTGGGGTCAGTAGTTTGGCCCTCAGGCATCAGGCCTTCCTGGGCTTGAAAGTGGGGCTTCAGTAGGGACCTGCCTCTTTATACCCAGGAACTTGTCTGCTTCCTGCTGCTGTTCATGGCACCCATGATGTTTCTTCTTGGCCAGCCGCTTGTGCTTATTGGTACTGAAATTCCAGAGGGGACCAAGACAGCAGGGGGCTGGCATCTCAGCGCTGGCCTGAACGTGCACACACTCAACCAGGTTGTGACAGTGCCCTGGCTCAGACTCAACTTTACTTCCAGATCAGGGTGAGACCTAGGAGCAGGAAGAGGCCAGGGAGTAGGAGCAGGCATTTCTGAGCCTGTGGGGGAAATGGGGGTATTCCTGGACCTCCAAGAGTACAGAGATGCCTGGAAGCAGCTGTGGCCAGGAGGGTGGGGCTCCTGCCTGCTCCCAGCCCCCCAAGAGCACAGGGAGCCTAGATGAACCTAAGGATCATGAAGCTCCGACCATACCAACTCAGAAGGGGTCAGGGCTTCTGCCTGTCCCACAGCTCCTGCAACAGCTAGTGTCATGGCAGTGGCAACTCTAGATGGGCCACAGCTCCCATCGGTATTGCAGATGATTCGGATTAAAAAAATCACCTAACAAGTGGAAGCAGAGCAAGATGACTGAATAAAAGACCCAGTTGTTCTCCCAGAAGGAACATAAAATTGAACAACGATTCACATAAGAAAGCACCTTTGTAAGAACCAAAAATCAGGTAAGCAATTACAGAACCCGATTTTAATACCATGTGAAAGGAAGCAGCACTGAAGAAGATAAGACAATCTTGGGTTGCTGACACAACTCCCCTATGCTTTCCCAGTGGTTGCCTGGTGTGGAGGGAGAATCTGTTTACACCGGGAAAAGAAAGCACAGTGATTGTGGGAATTGGCACTGTAAATCCATGCTACTGTGTTACGGCAGAAAGCAGCGCAGAACATAATTCAGCCAGTCCCACATAGGGAGCACAAAGAGGTGATTCCTCTCTGATCTACATGCTCTTATTGTGTATTGGTCTGCATGATCCCTCCAGTCCCATAGAAGGAGCATGTAGACCAGAGGGGAATCACCCATTTCAGTGGTTAGAATCTGATTTCTGCTATTCTGGCTAGCTTCACTACTGTGGTATAAAGCACTTTGGGTTTCTAAATAAACTTGAAAGGCATTCTAGGCCACAACAATTGTAATTCCTGCGTAAGCCCTGGTGCTGTGCTGGACTCAGGGCAAATGGACTTGGGGTACATACTACCTATTGAGACACCAGCTAGGGTGACCAGGGGAGTAATGCTCATGTTACCTTTTCCCCAGCCCAAGACAGTGCAGTCCCCAGCTCCAGGAAAGAGCTCTTCCTTCTACTTGAGGAGAGGTGAAGGAAGAGAAAGGAAGACTTTGCCTTACAACTTGGGTACTGGCTCAGCCACAGGAGAACAGAGCACTAGACAGAGACTTGAGGCCCTAGCCCGGATTCCAGGCCCTAGCTCTCTTTAATACACACTCTGGGCCAGAAGGGAATCTGCTGCCTTCAAGGGAATGAGCCAGTCCCGGCAGGCAGGATTCTTCACCTGCGGACTAAAGAGTACTTGGCTGCTTTGTGTCGATTCTGCTTGGAGCTGTTGAATAAACAATAATGGTCTCAGGCAGCTCTCACTGTAGGTCTTGGGTGAGACCTAGAGATACACTGGCTTTAGGTGTGATCCAGGGAATTTCCATCTGTGATGTCCATAAAGAGAGAGGCCTTCTACTAAAGGAAAGGAGAGGGAAGAGTAAAGCAGATTTTGTCTTGCAGCTTGGGCACCAGCTAAGCCACGATGGGATAAAGCAACAAGTAGGCTCCTGGGGTCCCCACTTCCAGGCCTTAGCTCATAGGTGTCACTTCTGGACCCAGTTCAGGCCAAAGGGAAGATGACCGCCCTGAAGGGTGAGTTCCTGGCCTGGAAGCATTCACAGCAAGTTGAAGGAAGAGCCTGGGGTGTTAAGTGAACATCAGCCATGGCGAGGCACTAATCTCTGTGGGCCTAGGGCAGAGGTAGCCACAGGAAGAGACTCCTGCTATGAGACAAAAGAGAGAAGAGTGGGAAAGACTTTGTCCTGTGGCTTGGGTGCCAGCTTAGCTGTAGTAGAATAGATGCTAAGATTCCTGCCTCCTGGCCCTGGCTCCTGGAAGGCATTACAGGGCCTGCCCTGGGCCAGTGGGGAGATTGCCTCTCATAAAAGTAAGATACAAACCTGGAAGTTTGCCATATGCTGACTGAAGAGTTCTTGGGCTTGGAATAAAGTAAGTGTTAGCCAGGCAGTGGTCACCATGAGCCTTGGGCAAAGCACAGTGCTGTGATGGTTTTAGGTCTGAGCCACCACAGTCCCAATGGTGGGGCCACAGAAGTGCTTGTGTCACCCTTCCCCCTGCTCTAGGCAGGTCAGCATAGACAGAAAGAGAGCCTGCTTGCTTGGGGGAAAGTAAGGGAAGAGAGCAAGCATCTCTAGCCAGTAATCAATTGAATTCTTCTGCATCTTTCCCAAGACCACCAAGCAGTACCTCTACAAGTTAGCAAAAGTCACAGGATTACAGGACTTGGGGTGCCTCCTAATGCACATGTGGCTGCAGTTACCAAAGATTTAGACTACAGAACTCATTGCCCTTTGCATACTTGGAAAACAGTCCTGAGAAGAATGGATACAAAGCAGCCAAGATTCTGAAGACTACATTAAATACTTAATTCTTTAATGTCCGACATTGACAAACATCTACCAGTATCAAGAATATCCACGAAAACTTGACCTTCACCAATGAATTAAATAATGCACAAGTGGCCAATTCTAGAGTGACTTTTCAAATATGTGAATTTTCAGATGGAGGTTTCAAAATAACTGTTTTGATGAAGCTCAGTGAAATTCAAGGTAACACAGAGAAGGAGTTCAGAATCCTCTTGGATAAAGCTACTAATGATTGAAATAATTAAAAAGAAGTAGAAATTCTGGAGATGAATAATGCAATTGACACCTAAGAACACATAGATTCTATCAATGGAAGAAAGAATTAGTGAACTTGAAGAAAGACTATTTGAAAATATACAGTCAAAGCAGACAAAAGAAAAAAGAATAAAAAAGAACA